ATTGATAACCTAATATAGAATCAATATTTTCAGAAGATTTTGAAAACTTGCTTATTATTTTCTCTAACTTGAAAATCTAATTTTCCAAATGATTACAATTTTCACAAGGTTTAACAACTTTTTTATTTTTAGATAAAATTTTAAATTTCTCAAGATCTTTCTTTAAGCACTCATTTTCTTTTTCAAGAATACCAACAATATTTTTTAATGCATCAAACTTTTGTCTAAGTACATTGTATTTCTTAGATAACTTGGTAAAACCTTCATACATATCTTGATATTCTTTAAACAACTCATCATATTCATTTAAGGATTTTGTACTGCTTACCTGTGATGAGACTTCATCATCACTTTTTGTCATCAAGCAAAAATTTGTTTCTTCTTCTCCATCACTACTTTCGAAAGAATTCTCTTTTGTTGTGGAAGAATCATTATCCTCCCAAACAATATAAGCTTTGTATTTGTTCTTATAGATACCGTTCTTTCCTTTCTTCACATCTTTCTTAAGTTCCGGACAGTTTGGTTTGATATGGCCAGGTTTTCCACATTCATAGCGATGATATTTATTTGTTTTCTCCTTTCTTTGCTGTCTCTTTTTCGTATTCTTCATAAAGCGATAAAATTATTTAACAAAAAGAGACATATCAGAATCCGAAAACTTACCTTCATTTTCGCTTTCGTCTTGTGAAGATTTTTCTACTTTTAGAGTTATCGTCTTGGTTTGATTATGTTCATCATTCTTTAACCTTTGTAGTTCCATCTCATGCTCTCACAACTTTTCAAATAGAGTAACAATATTGATTTTTGTGAGATCCTTTGATTCTGTAATAGCAGTGACCTTTGGTTGCCAATTCCTGTCTAAGGATTTCAAGATCTTTGTGTTCAACTCCTCATTGTCAAAGCTTTTTCTTAATGCTTTCAAGTGATTTACTATATGTGTGAAGCGTGTCTGAAAATTCATGATGTTTTCATTTTGCTGCATTTGAAACAATTCATACTCCTGGATGAGTGTGTTCTTACGGGCTCGTTTTACTTCATTTGTTCCTTTATGTGTTACTTCAAGAGTATCTCATATTTCTTTTGCCGTCTTACATTGTGAGACCCTGAAAAATTCATTACGAGTTAAGACAGAAACAATAGCGTTTCAGGCTCTTACATCATAATGAGCACGCTTGTTTTCATCCGGCGTCCATTGAGTACAACATCTCAAACACCATAATTTAGTGTTTGTAAAAATATTTCTTTCTCGCTTTCTAAAACTGATAGTCTTCTCCTTCCTCCTTCAAATAATGGTGGTCTGTTTATTGAGGTTCCTTCCCTGTAAACCTGATTCTGCATATACATCTTGACAGATCGTTTAGAAATATCTTATCTAACCAAGTCATGATATCACTTGTTAAACAAATGGCATCTAGAGGGGGGGTGAATAGATGCACAAATTTTAATAGATGTCAAATTAAAAATGTATTTGTGAGTCAATAATTTGTTTGAACACATATAAAGCGGAAACGATAATATAATCAGAAAAAGAGAAAGAGATAAGGGAAAGAAAAGAGCACACAATAATTTATACTAGTTCAGATATAGTCAACTCTACATCTAGTTCCTAGTCAACTCAAATCACAAGAGTGACTCCCAACAATCAACTTAGCAGAAGAACCAGTAAAAAGTAAACTAATTAAAAAGACAATCACCTCCTTAGAAACCCACTAAGGATGAACACCTCCCTAGAATCCCACTAGGGGTGAACACCTCCTCTGAACAAATCAAAGGATGAAAACACCTCCTTAGAATCCCACTAAGGATGAACACCTCCCTAGAATCACACTAGGGATGAACACCTCCCTGAACAAATCAAAGGGATGAAAACACCTCCTAAACCCACAAAGGATGAAGGAGTAAGATAAGAACAATCACACTTGGGTAATGAAGAAGCCTGTAGAATGTCAATATCTAAGAACAAGTGTGATTAATAATGAAAGCACGGAAGACGAGTAGAGAAGAGAGTTTTCTTAGAAGGTGTAAAATATCTCTATTGCCTTGCTCATAATTCTTTTTTCAAAATTGATTAAATGTAAATTGTATTTTTGAATTCTATAATTATGTGTTTTTTATTTTTCATCAAAATTTAATTAAATAGAAAAATAGTATCGAGAAAATGTTCGTTATACATTAATAATATCATAGAGAAAATCAGGATGTATTTAAAAACATTTATTCTTTAAAACAGATATATTTTTAAATTTGAATTGCCATAATTAATTATGTTACCAGTATAATCAATTATGGCAGAGAAGATCATTTTTCCATTTCTGATACATCATAATTGATTATGACAGTGGAAAATATCATGTTATGAAATTTTATCACACTTGTGCTTTGAAGGCTTATACATTATATTACTTCATCAACTTGTACCTCCATATCCAGTATTCTAAGACTCTATCTAGTGTTCAGGAATCATCTTGGGCTTGCTTGAATCATCATCTTTATCAATAACATATCTTGGGCATGTAAGGAAATGTTCTACATTGTTACCAACGTCTTAAATTCAGTTTGTCCTTAATTTGAATGTAGTTGACTTGAATCATCATCAAAATCATCTCTTGGGAATGTAGAGACGTTTCTATCAATCTCCCCCTCATTGCTTTCAATATATAGATGTAGGAAGATTTGTTTGAAAAGTAAAAAGTTTCCCTATCATCTCTTCATCTGTAAAGAATTGTCAATATGAAAACACAGAGACAAAATGTTGATCTTTAAATAGGAAAAAGAGTGGATCTGTGGGATCCAAATGAATTGACTTATTTGAAAAAAGTTATCTTCTTTGGAAGATCTATCTTGTGTATGATATTGCATGGGTCTACCCTACAAGAATTCTGAATCATCCTCTTAAAATTCATCCTTCTCATCATAAATGATATGTTTGTCCCAATAAGGAAATCCTAATTTATTGGGTCTAATATAATCAAATAGAAAGCTCCAAGAACGTCACATTTTAGGAGCCAAAATGATGTGATTGAATAAATCTTCCTCTATCTACGGTAAATGTTAGGTATTTGCGAGGAGTATAACAATAGAGAGATTCTTACAAATGAAACATGAGTTAATCATATAAAAGAAGAATATGATATCACGTTCAACTTAAAATCTTAAGACATTAAGTTATGAATATTTCTTATTTATAAGTTTCTCAACTTTTCCAACTATAAACCCTTATCAAGAAGACTCGTCGTTCAACTCAACGGGACTTGCTTGCTTGAAACATTTATTAGGAAAGTTTTCGACACAAAGACTTTTTACCTATTCTAATCATAATCAACTGAGCCCGTCACTAGACGAACTATCAGCTCCGATACCATAAAAGAGAATATGACACCACCTTCAACAAAAAACCTTAAGACATTAAATTATGAGTCATTATTACTAAATTACTCAAATTTTTCATTTCTACCTAATATGAAACTTTAAACTTATACTTGAAATCTTAACAATAAAAGATATATTAGAAAACATGTTTTTTCCAAAATAATATTATTTAGGTAAAAATTCACTTGCTTGAAATCTTTGTTAAAAAGATTTTCTATGCAAGGACCTTTCACCTGCTTCTAATCATACTTAACTAAGCCGATCACTAAATGAACCATCATATTTGATACCATATAAGAAAATGACACCGTTTTAAATAAAAAAGCTTAAGACAATAAATTATGAGTCTTTTTATTAAATTACTTAATCTTTTTATTTTTACTCATCATAAAACTTTAAACTCATAATTAAATTATGAAGTGATCATGTTTTTTCTAAAATAATATTATTTATGTAAAAAATTCACTTGAGAATTCACCTCGACAAACCAAGCGAAAGTTTTCACGTACAATTCATTATTATCATATGGAAATAAAATACATGAAATGAATGTTATTATTCTTATTATATTAATTTTATAATGTCTTGTATGTTAAAACAAATTTTTAGTTAAAGTATCATAACAAAATAGTCAATGCTACAAGTCATATCCAGATATGAGCGTATATCACAAAAAAATTAAAACAAATTTTTGTATCATATAAAATATTAAATTCTAAATCCAATAAGTGGAAATCATTAAGATTAATCACATTTTTAATTTTGAGTATTTAAATTTAAAAAAGGTGAATTTTATATGAAGATTAAAAATTATAAAACTCAAAATGAACCATAATATGGAGAAAGATTTAAATATCATAACAAAGATATGTTTCAAGATTTTTTTCAAAAAAATGTTTAAGAGAGAAAATAATTTTTTTTCTTAAATTAAAGTTAAGTTACATAAAAATTAATCCGCTTTTATATAAATTATACAAAATTATATTTTTTACTTATACGTTTATACCAATTTTAACTTATAAATAAGTCAAATTTTTTTTCCTTCAATTTTTTTCTCATAAAAAGTTCTTTACCATTCATAAAAAAAATCTTAAAGAAATGAAAGAGGAAGAAAATAATGATTTTATTGTAAATAATTTATATGTAATGCATAACTTAATTAAAATTAAAAAATAAATTTAGGATTTAGAGTACTGAAACGTTATAAACTTTATAAAAGTAAACAAAATTAATTTTGACTTTTATCTAGTAGCGGATATAACATATAAATATAAATAGATAACGTATCACTAAGTATAAGTGTTAATTTTAATAGATTCAATTTAACAGCGAGACATAATAGAAATGTATTTTTTATTTTATTTTTATTTTTATATTTTTTTTTCGAAGATTAAGTTAAAATCTCTTCACATGACAAAATTTATTAATTACCTTAATTTTAGGACATTATTAAAATATTTGTTTTATAATTTTTGTATTTTCAAATATTAAATTTTTACGAAATTTACTATTTACCTTTATTCATTTTTAAATGCAGTTATTATTCTGAACAAAACACACTCATTTTCTGTATTTTCACTATTGGAATCCCGGGTACTCCACTTCATTTCGAGTGTCCTTGATTCGCTTCCATGTCCCTGCGTCCCAAAATTGAGAAGGCCGACGTCCCCGTCGTCGACATTAATAGCGATAGTGACGACGGCGTCACGACCGTCGAGGTAGTTCCCACCAAAAAATCCGCGTTAACACAGAAGATTTCATCGCGTCGAGTCGAGCTTGTGCAGCAAGAAACCCCTGCGCCGAGTTCCGCACCTTCGGTCTCCGGTGGTCTGTTCCGAAGTTTCTGGAAAGCTGGGGATTATGCAGTTGGTCCCTCCTTGAAGCCCGCTCCCTTTCAAGGTTTTGCACATCTAGTCCTTTTATCTTTTTTTTTTTTTCATTTCTCTAAAATTTAATTTCATCATTCACACTGTTCTCTTAGGTCATATTTTGATGAAGTAGTGTGGAGGGAAAAGGTTGATAGAGTTATATAGATGATATTTTAAAAATTGAATGATTGATGGGCGAAAAGTTACATGCTAACTTTCATTCAAGGTTTCAAACTTTCATCCAGTCGCGGACACTCCATGAACCTTGAAGTTGCAGCCACAATTGCCGTCCTTGATCATTTTTTAAAACCTTCCTTTCATTTTATTTCTGTTGTGAAGAGTGAAATAAAGAGAAAGGAAGGAGACTAATATCCGGATCTCCGTTGAGTGTCAATAACTGAATTTAAACGTCCACGCTTGATTATATAACTGTACAACAACTATAACTATAAAACCAAGTTAAAGAAAAATGGCTACATATGGTTCCTTTCCTTCGTGATATGTGATGAGTGAAGGCCCTATTGTTAAGTTATTGATTCGGGTCCTAAAGCCCTTATTCCTCTTTCTCTCTCTAAAGCCCACCATTCAAGCATACCCTTAACTGTTATCTCTCCAATTTCAGGTCACTTGGAACATGCTCGGGTGCACCCCAAGTTTCTGCATTCAAATGCAACTTCTCATAGATGGGCTTTTGGAGGTGTGGTTTCTTTACCTCTTTTGTATTTGAACAAATTTTGGGACTCTGTTTGATTAATAAAAGAAATTCATTGGTTGAAAAGTTAAGATAAGAGTTGATTTACTTTTGAAATCCATTTGATTCATATTGTGTGTGTAGATTTGGTTTGATTTTAGTTTTTTTGTAATTTTAATAGTTATTTTTTCTCTTATCAGTTTAACTGTCGTGCATATTCCAAGTAAATGTATTAAAGCAAATTACTTCATCAAAGCTGTGCCATGCATGAAATTTGACATGCAAATCTGTTCAACCTATAGTGCAATTTTTCTATAATTACACTCCAAAAATGTGACCTTTTTTGGCCTGTGTTGGTGTGTAATTTACTTCCCATAGAACGACTGGGTGATTTTCTCCCTTGTTTTTTCCTGGTTTGGAATGTAATTATCCGTTTCCCAACATATTGTTGCTTTTGTAGTTTTGTTAGGATGGAATCAATGGTGCACAAATATATACATATCTGATACAACAATACGATTATTCTGAACATACAAGATATAGTATGTGTAAGAAACTTATCTAGATAGGTATAAAATTTCTAAGGCATAACTCGTAATTGCAATTTTGCAAATATAAATTAATAACATAATTCTTGGGCATTAATAAAAACAAAAATATATAAATCATTGTTATCATTAATAATCATCTTTGAAGAAAACAATTTCCCTTTTTGGTTCGTCAAGGGACAAAGCTTCTATGTTTCTATATTATACATGCTTCAATGTCTCACATGTAGTTGTATTCGATAGTTATTTTTTATGGCTCCAGATGTGTATCTGTTAAAGTATCCAAAAGTATTGGTATTGGATAAGTGAAGCAAATTGAAGGTTCAATAAGGTTGGATATAGTGGTATAGTTTAGATCTTCATTCAACTGCTGCAAGTTGCTAGCTACCACTCATAAATTCAGTTGTTTGGCAAAACTAGAGCCTGATGCAACTTATGCTCTCAGGCTTTATGAAGTGTTAGCTGGGAAAACAGAAACCATTTGAAGACTCTCTTTTTGTGCATCCAAAATGTTTAAAGACTTGTACATATCTTATTGAATTGAAGTTTGTGTTTTAGTTTCTATGACTTAGTAGGGTTTTATTTAGTAACAAAAGTGATGCGTTTGTAAGACTATTTTGGATAGCAAAAAGAAGAGTGTTTGGAATATCTTAACATTTCTTTTAAATGTTGAATGAAGACTTCTAGTTTCAAATAATTTGTATATATGATGCATTACTTCTTTTTTCATAATATATGCATTTCATTATTGGCAGCAATTGCTGAGCTCGTGGATAATGCTGTTGATGAGGTATGATTCCAGTAAAAAATATTTTACTCTTTTCTAGGCAGTAAGATAATCCTAGTTAGTCAGTGTAAACAAATATTGTTGAGCACTTTAGCTTTGTGGTAAGCTACTATGTTTTAAGTGCTCTTTTGATTGGCTTTATATTATGGCATTTAACAAACAAGGTTGGCTCACCTGGTTGATGGGCATAAAAAATTGTATTCTCCATGTGAATGGGTTTGAAACCCCTTTGACTAGTAGACATGCTTGGTGATAATTCCGCCTGGGGAAATCCATTGATGCCCAGGATTAGTTGAATAGCCTATTTACAAGAAGAAATACTTGGAGTTGGATATTTCAGGTAATCCTATGAGTGGGTTTCTACCTGCTCCTGTCTGGTCCTACTATCCTATGTTAGACATGCCAGTAGTGCCCTGAGTCACTGTCTTGGATCACTATTTCTGAAACGAAAATATTTAGTTTGAAGGGACTATACACATTAGTTTTAAAAGGATTATGAATATTTTGAGTTTGAATTAACAATAACTTAAGTCATATTTGTTTGGCTGAAGAACTGAAAAATCAGTTGCATGCTTGCATAACTTTCTTCCAACAAAGGTCTGTCTATAAGGTACTATTAATAAGCTATTTGAGAATTGTTGTTATAGAACATAAGCATTACTGAATACCGAATTTTGCTCTATACTTTTAGATTCACAATGGTGCAACTTTTGTAAAGATTGACAAGTTTGATGTTAAGAAGGATAATTCACCCGCATTATGTTTCCTAGGTATGCTATCCAAATCCAAATATGCATATTTTTTACTGTCAATAGTATTTTTTTCGGTTTGATATGTTAGTTTTTGGCAAGAAAGGCTTAATGGAGTGCATGTTTCCTATGCAGATGATGGTGGTGGAATGGATCCTAACTCAATTCGAAAATGCATGAGCTTGGGTTATTCATCAAAGAAGTCAAAGACAACAATTGGACAGTGTATCTAAAATTATTTTATTAATTTCTTTAACTTTTTGTGCTTGTGACTTAAAGAACTCTACTAATGTTAATATTTGCATCTATATTTATATCCCTCTCAAAAGGTGTTCAATTTCTATTTATTTTTAGTTAATATATTTTTGCTAATAGTTACCACAACATTGCCTTGTTTTCTATTTATATTCCCATTCTATTTTTTCTTTGTATTTTGGTTGGGAGTTTTGAGATCAAATTGGTGTCGTCTTACTCTCTATACTTCTGCTCAAGCCTTGTTTGGGAGGTTTCCAAATTGTGTTGAATTAGCTGGAAAAAATTCTTTAATTGTGACACAGTTTAGGAGTATCCGACACATGTCAATAGCATGTCTGAAAAGTGTTGTGTTCGAAAAGTGTGGGAGATGTCGACATGCTTTTATACAGAGTTAATGTTGTTTCCTAGCAACTGACTGCATAACTACTAATAACTCTACCATGTACCAAGTGACAACTGTCTCATTGACTAACTTACTGGAGGAACTTGAACATATACAACTCACAGGTTTTAAAAATTGAGAGACTTAATTGACTAAGAAAAGGTGGGAGACAAAAATCGTACCTGTTGCAAATTATTGGAGCCAAAAGTATAATTTAGCCATTTTTTTGGTGTGAACGTAGTTAGTTTTGATGCACTTTACTTGTTTCTTTGTTAGTAACATCTTGTTTTATTCTAGATGGCAATGGATTCAAGACTAGTACCATGCGACTGGGTGCTGATGCTATTGTTTTCAGTCGGGCAAAGCATTCAGGGTACATTTTTATATTGGTTTGTGTAATTCAATTTAACTTTCTGAAAGTTTCTGTCTTTTTTTCTGTTAAACTTTGCTTTATCCCTTGAATGTTAATTATTCAGTTGAACTGTATGGGGAAGTGTGTGTGTGTGCAATGGTACCATGGTGAACTAGTAGTGTTGACAGCCATAAGTGGTTGAAGGTTTGCATTATTAATTAGTTTTACCTATTAATTTTGTTCCTTTGTGCTGAAGGACATGTTTAATATGCTTTGCATCTATTTTAGATGGCTACTTGTCATATAATGGGGTTTAGTTGGGGCATGTTTTGATATTTGGTGTGGGTGTGGTGTCTCATGTTTTCTAGTTTTTTTTTTTTTTTTGAATAAATTCCTATTAACTTGGCACACTTGTTTTAGCTGCAAGCATACACAGTTTTGTGTCCTAGTGTTATAGAGAGGATGGCTACTAAACTGAAAGAAAATTTTCTTGGTGACTGGTGAAAGATTCACCTAGTATGATCAGTGGGCCTTAGGACCTTGTTCTTTGGGGTTTTATATGTAAAGTTCTTCATTTTGTGGAATTAAATATGTAACTTTTAGTTTTGGAGGATAAAATTTTAGTCTTTTAATTTATCAGCTTTTAACTTTTCAGACGGGCAACACAAAGTGTGGGTCTATTATCCTATACCTTTTTGCGGAGAACTGGGCAAGATGACGTAGTTGTTCCAATGGTGATATTTTCTTCCTCTTATTTTTAAATATGTAAAGGCAAATGCTTTCTGCTTTCATATTTCTATTCAGTTTCCTTTTCCTTGCAGGTAGATTTTGACATATCTGGCCATTGGGCTGAGCCAATTATTTATAGCTCACAGGATGAATGGTCAGCGAACTTGAAAACAATTATGGATTGGTCTCCGTTCACATCAAAGGAGGAGCTCATGCTTCAGGTTCATTTTGATCTATTGTCTATTGACAAAACCACAGTACTTGGAAAGATAAGAAATACTTTTTTTTTTATACAGTTAACTTTTATGTTTGGAAATGTTTCAAGTAGTTATTTTCCTGTAGAAAAGAGCTCTTAACCTTGGGAAATGTCCTTGGGTAATTTTCCCAGATACATTGTCTAAATTATGCACTCATTAATTGTTTATCTCTAGCTTCCTTGATTGCTATGCAACTTTTTATCTTCTGACGAGAAAGTTTCATTCAGATGAAGAAATTACAATGGAGTGTCTGAAATCATCTGGAATGAACAGTTGAAGACAAAACAACTAAGAAAAAGAAAACATGAATGGGCAGAGCTTCTGACTGGCCTGTTAGTTGAGGGCCTTTGTTTAGTTAGTAAGGAGGTTGAGAAATAGGGCATGTTGCCTAAAAATAGGAAGAGGGGTTGAGAGGAGGACTTAGTCAATTGGTGATTTAGTATTGTGGCTAGGGAGAGTCCTAAACCTCTTGAATATCTGTGGGATTTCTGCACTCTTTTTGTTGGTCAATGATGATACGTTCTTTGTGCGCTAATGAAACAGTTTCTATTAGCTTCCCAATCTGTCAACTGTCAGGGAATCCCCATAAAAGATTGTGTCCTTCATACCAAACAGAAGCTGAAACTTCAGTGTTTTCTCAAATAAATTTTTATGCCATAAAAATCTCATTAATTACGTTCCAAGTTTATGCACCAAATTCTATTTTAAATTGCACATTGTTGCAAGACATTAGTTTCTACCAAAACCATCTGCAACTTTCTTATACATTCTAAACATTTGACACTATATGGCTTTGCTAGTTGGGGAAATTCATTCTTATGCTTGTCCACAAGGTTTGTTGAAGTTGAAGCTAAATGTTAAAAGCGGATTTTTTTCTCAAGTTAGGTAGAGAAATAATTTAACACTTACCATTACTAGGTCTACATATTTTCTTAACTTATTCTATTTGCTGATATCAATTCTCAAGCCACTATCCAAAACATTAGCATGTAAACCACTTCCAATTGATGTTTGTAATAATAAATTGAATGTATTGTAGAGAGCCACTCATAACTCTTTTATTTTATAAGTTGGTAAGTTGTGGACTTCTTTCATTGACCAGTTTGTTTACACTTTTCAGTTTGATGATATAGGATCACATGGAACCAAAGTTCTAATATACAATTTGTGGTTGAATGATGAAGGGATATATGAATTGAGTTTTGATGATGATGTTGAGGTATGTTGTATTTCTTCACTGCTATATGAACTATTTTCATTTGCAGGTTTGTCTAGGAAATGCATTTGTGAGATATTCTGTATTGATGGAGGAAATATTCAAATATAAGTTGGTTAGTATTTTATTTATATACAAGGTATGCGGAGGAAAAGTATCTTCCAAAACAAGAGTAGGTAATGGAGGCATTCATGAACAGGGTTCAGTTGTGACAGAATAAATAAGAATACAAATATTTAGTTGATAGAAGAGTTAAACTGAGAAATTTTCTGATTCTATTAACGAGTGAAGAAGTTTCAACATTCTGTTATAAGAGATAGATTTATACAAGAGTTGGTCTAATTAAGAAGCTTGCACAGCAAGACATAGCTGAACAAATACTAACTGAATGAACCTATGCAACCTGTAGACAGATTTCTTTTGTATGAGAAGCATTAAAGGATAAGAAACTAGAACCCTTGTCAGTCTTGATTAGAGAACAAGTGTAAGATGGCTTACTAAAAGACTGAAGAGAACTTGTTTTATCTTCAGACATGAAGAAAAACACGATATAAATTCATAAGCACACAACCATATTCTGTGGTGCTGGATTGAAATATGTTGTGTACACGCATCTGAAACAAGTAGTAAGTGCATGTGAGATCAGATAGACCTGAAATATAGGGTTTAGGTAGGTTGGCAATGTGTGCCTATGGAAGAAGCAACCTTGCTGGAGAAATTTCCAGTGAAGACTGGCAATGGTGGCTCTTGGGAAGAGGTGAAGAAAATTGTTGCTTGGCACAAAGGTGTCAAGACAGTAATGAAGGCTTTTAGAATGTAGAAGCCGATGTCCCTTTTGGATTGGGAGCTTGTACAGACCAGCACCACAAAATTAAGGATTAAAGACCAAGCATAAAATAGAAGAAGAACGATATATTATTATTCTGTATTATTTGCAACAAAAAAGGGAAATGCAAAAGGATAACAACTCCTACTGCCCAGAGCTAGGCTTCCTTTAGAGAAACCCAACCGATTCACTTCTCTCTCTCCAAAAAAGGACCCCATCTCACTAACATCCCCTCCTTCCACTTATAATTGATACGTCGTAAAAGAAACTATCCTTCTCTCTCCTCTAACTGCCCTCCCCCCCTTAATCATGTCACCTTAGTCATATGTTTCTTCTTTCTCGCATATACACTTCCCCATCTTTGCTTGCTCCCTTCTTGGACTAGTGGTTCACGAGGCTCACTAACTCTTTGGCCTCATCGTTACCTCCCTCTTGATGATTTGTCTTGTCCACAAGACTCAGTCCTAGAAATTGGCTTCTAATTAAAACTTCATCTTCCCATGTAGTTTCTTCTGTCGCTTTTCCCCTCCATTAAATGAGCCATTAATTCACTTGTTCTCCCTTGTTCACAACGTTACGGAGGCTAGAATAGAAATAGGTTCAATGAAATCCCCTCATCCTCCAAATTTGTGGGTAATTCTTCCTCTGTCTTGTAGTTCCCTATTGCTTACTTGAGAAGGGGGCCGTGAAATACGGGATGTATCCATGAAGAAAGAGGTAACTTTAAACCAAAAGCAACTATGTCTATTTTATCAAGAATTTCGAATGACCCATAATACCTAGCATTCAATTTCGGATTTATCCTTGCCATTACAGAGTGCTTTCTATGTTGCTTGAGTTTCATAAATACGATATCCCCCACTTCAAAACTTTTATCTATTCGATGTTTATCAGTTTGTACCTTCATCCTTTCTTGAGCTCTCAGTAAATTATTCTTTAATTGTCTTAAAGCTTCATCACGATCCAATAATCCCATTTGGACTGCATCCACTCTCACTTCCCCTGTTACACTTAGCACAATTTGGGGAGGTTTGCATCCATAGACAACTTCAAATGGTGTGGTGCTTGTGGACTTATGATAGCTAGTATTGAACTAATATTCTGCCCGCAGCCACCAAACCCACCCTTTTGGTTGATCGGCTATTAAGCAACATTAGTTTCGAGACATCTATTGATGACCTCAGGTTGTCCGTCTATGTGAGGATGGTATGCAGTACTCATCTTCAACCTTGTCCCTTGCATCCTAAAAAACTCCTTCCAAAAACAACTCATGCATACAAGATCCCTATCACTCACCATAGACATTGGAATACCATGGAGTCTCACCACTTCTCTTACAAAAGCTTCAACAATCACTTTGGTTGTATAAGGTTTTAAATGACCAAAGTGACTGTACTTTGTTAGTCTATCCTTAACTACTAATATGGTTTCGAACCCCCTTGATCTTGGCAACCCCGTGATAAAATCCTGACTTGTATCCTCCCAAATTCTTTTTGAAATGGGAAGTGGTTGCAACAGTCCTCCCGGAGAAGTTGGACTATACATCTAACACTGGCACATGTTTCATGACTAAACAAATTTCATGATATCATTTTTCATTCCCCTTCAATACAATTTGGTTGCTACATGTTTATAGGTTCTATAAACCCTGAACGCTTTTGCTTCACTTTGTAACTCCTCAATGACTTCCATTTAATGTCTTCATGCACCTCAACAATTAATGCTTGATGGTCCAATCAAACTGGAATATATATCATACTTCTAAGTTCCAACCCCCCTTTACTCCTTGAAAAAGCATTTTGCATCTTTGTTCTCTAGTCTTGAATTATAGACAATCTCGAAATTGTACCCCAATAATTTAGCCACCCAATTTTGTTGACTTCCTATGGTTACTCATTGTTGTAATAGTTGCTTAAGGCTCTTTTGATCAGAAAATACCTTAAATCTCCTCCCTAACAAGTATGGCTTCCAATATTGGATAGCTAAGACTACTGCCATTAATTTCTTCTCCTATGTAGATTTAGATAGATTTCTTAACCCCAACTCTTTACTATAATATACCTTAAATCTCCTCCCTAACAAGTATGGCTTCCAATATTGGATAGCTAAGACTACTGCCATTAATTTCTTCTCCTATGTAGATTTAGATAGATTTCTTAACCCCAACTCTTTACTATAATATGCCATAGGTTGACAGTCCTGCACCAAAATGGCTCCACTTCCAGTCCTGGATGCATCACATTCCAAATCAAATTCTTTCTCAAAGTTTGGCCCCTTCAATATAGGGGTTGTTGTGATATTTTCTTTTAGTTTATCAAATGATTTTTGGGCATTTTCATTCAACCAAAAACAATCCTGCTTAGTTACTCGGTGAGTGGTTTTGCTATTTCCCATAATTTTTGATAAATTTTCGATAGTAACCAATGAGACCTAAATCCATGCACCCTTTTCACAGTTTTAGGTACAGGCCAACTAAGCAAACTACTCACCTTTGCAAAATCAACTGAAACCCCTTGACTTGGGATCATGTGCTCAAGATATTCAACACTTTTCTGACCAACATTGCATTTCTCCTTGTTGTGATGTTGCATCAGTATCCAAAACAACCATCCTTTCCTCAAAAAACTCCGAAATATTTCATTCATCAATTATGGAAATGTAAAAGGGGCATTCATGAGCCCAAAATGCATTACAAGGTATTCGTAATGACCTTCATGGGTTCTAAATGTAGTTTTAGGAATATCTTCAGCCTTCATTAGTACTTGATGGTATTCGGACTTCAAATCCAGCTTAGAAAAATACTTTGCTCCATGCAATTCATCTAATAGTTTTGAATGATTGGTATGAGAAATTTATCAGGGACTGTGACTTTATTCAAGGCTTTGTAATCTATACACATTCTCCATTGGTTGTTCTTCTTTTTCACCAATATCACACGGTTGGAATATGCACTTTGACTGTGCCGGATATGCCCCATCTCCATCAACTCGAGAACCTGCTTCTCAATATCATTTTTTTTTTATGATAGGGGTAACGATAAGGTCTCACATTAATAGGTCCTTGACCAGGCTTGAGTGTGATTCCATGTTCCTTAGCACAAATTGAAGGTAGTCCTCTTGGTTATTTGATTACATCATCATAACATTTCAAAATTTTCTTCGATGCCTCCTATCGATCCACTGCCAATTCCTTACTTATTCGGCCTTGATTTTCAACCAACATACTATAAAGAGTTGCAAATAAGGATTCTCCTTGAGGTACCCCTATTAGTGTCTTCGTTCCTTGAATTGTCTCTATTGTTTGCTTTTTCTAGTCAATCATCATTTCACCCAAAAAAACCAGCATGACATGCCCAAAATCATATCAATGTCCTCCAAATCAAACAAATAGGCATCTACCACAAACTCGTATTCCTTCATTTCAATTTTAATTCTTTGACACACCTCAAATGTTTGTGTCTTATGCCCATCTCCCATCAATATTCTCATACTCTTGGTTGTCTCCCAATTCCAACCAATAGCTTGCACCAATCTTCTAGAAATAAAGTTATGCGATGCTCTGCTATCAACCAGAATGTAGAGAGACAATTCGTTTACCTTTCCTTTAAGTTTAAGAGTCATAGGCTACTCTTTTTTTCTAGCTTCGAGACTGAATAAACTCATTGTGCTACACTCACCATCTATGTCCCCCTCTTCCATTTCAATTGTGTTTTCTGACTCGAGTTCTGTTTTATTGCATTTCATCTAGATTTCATCACCCACCAAGATGACACTGAGTTGCTTCACAGGGCATTAGTGCAAAGGGGTATATGGCCTACCACACTTGAAACATAAACCCCTATTTCGCCTATCTCCAAGGTCTTGATAGGCTAAGTGTCGCTCTCCCTTGTCTCTATGGCCAACCCTTCTATTTTCACCAAGATCCTCTTTCGTGTTTGGGCCAGACCCATGAACTCCCCCATTAACCCAAGATTTTCAGGCATGATATGACTTGAAATGTTTGAGTTAATCCTATTATTTGAATAGCCTCCACTTCCCATTTGTGTTTCTCCTTTTCCCGACCACCCATTATGATGATTTGAAAGCTCCATATCAATTGCTCACGTTACATTCATCATTCTTCCTCTTGTTAATGAATTTACAACATGCAAACTCTTGATTCGTGCTCTAATTTGTTTACGTAAACCATGAATAAAATAGGCAAAGTATCATTGGTCATGTAATTTGAACACCTATGACACCAAGCATTCAAACTTTTGTATGTACTCATATATGGTCCTTGTTTGGTGTAGAGAAGTCAACTACTCAAAAATACTTCCCTCGTCCAAACCTCTATACATCTCAATTAGTTACCCCTTCAAATCCTCCCATGTTAAGTCATCATAATCATTCAGCAAAGCATTGAAGAAATGAATCATGGCTCCCTCCATACACAATTGAGCAAGATTTACCTTGATTGCTTCACTGGTCTCTTGGACCCGTAAATAGATCTTCACTCTTATGATCTAGCCAGCAGGATCTTCCCCATTGAACATAGTGAGTTCAATTTTCTCCACTGACTGTCTAAACTCCTCAAGTTCTCACCTTCTAAGCCTTAAAGCTAGATTCACTATTTTTCATTTCCCTTCTCTCCTTTGAATTTCTTGTATTTTTTGGACTTCACAGAATTTTAACCCTTTGCATGAAAATTTTTATCCCAACTGTGAATAATCAGTTCCACCAATTTCAATTGGTTTTCCACCAGTTGGTTCTTGGTTGCTTGAATTCTTTTCTCCTCCATGACAACTCATGTCCTCTCCCTCAACGACTTCAACTCAATAGTCTACTGAAAGTGTGATTTTTGTGTCTCTGTGTTTCCCCTTGCTTACTTTCCTTCTTGGTGGCATTCACTAGTCGAAATATATTTGTTCGGCAGGTCAGACCAAAGGATACATACCAACACCACAAAATTAAGGATTAAAGACCAAACATAAAATAGAAGAAAAAAGAAATATTATTATTCTGTATTATTTGCAACATAAAAGGGAAATACAAAAGGATAATAAATCCTACTACCCAGTGCTAGGCTCCTCTAGAGTAACCCAACCAGTTCTCTTCTCTCTCTCCAAAAAAAGACTCCCCCTCACTAACATCCCCTCCTTCCACTTATAATTGATATGTAGTAACAAAAATTATCCTTCTCTCTCCTCTAATTGCCCTCCCCCTTAATCATGTCACCTGAGTCATATGTTTCTTCTTTCTCACATATACACTTCCCCATCTTTGCTAGTTCCCTTGTTGGACTAGTGGTTCACGAGTACTAACTCTTTGGGCCTCATCAGGAGGTTTATGCCAACTTGAGAACATGAAAAGTCTAAAAGGAACCGCTGAAGTTTATTTCTTGTTCAGATACTTACAAATGATGGTTGCAACTCCTAGATATAGGCTACGCTACAATTAATATATGAAATTCAAGAGACTAAAGAACTGCACAATGCTCAAGTCTACAATTTATACATGTTATTTGTGACGGAAATAAACTCTATTAATTACAATTTCAACAAGCCACTAGCTTGATTTTTGGTCATTTGGTAATCGAGAACATTTTTTGTTACATTTTAATTACCTATGTCAATGCTTACAAATTGGTGGTACCAACTACCATATTTGTCCAATTTTCTGGTCCTATTACAAGTCTCGCTGTTAAGCTAATTTGTGCGCTGGCTTATCTATTATTGTGTATATGTGTATCAAGCAGATTAGTGTGTATCTTGACAGGATGCTGTCTCTATAACTTCTCAATTGCTTGACATCATTCATCATTTTGATAGCAGTCATAATCTTCTTTGGTCTTTTTCACAGGATATTATGCTGAGAGATGAGGCCAGCCAAGGGGCTGAGAAAAAATTAAACAAAAAAACTGTTCAGCTTCAGTCTCATATTTCTTACCGCATTCGTTATTCTTTACGGGTACTATTTGAATTTTCAATTGTATTTATTAGTGTTTTGTTTATTGTGAATTCTGATTGACCCTTTACATGTTTCAGGCATATGTTTCGATGTTGTACCTTAGAAAATTTTCTAACTTCGAAATCATACTAAGGGGGAAACTTGTGGATCAATTCAACATTGCAGACAACTTAATATATTTAAAAGTAATTCCATATAGGCCTCAGCTAGCCATTGCATCAAAAGAGGTAGGATCCATGATATGGAGTACCAATTCAAAATTGGTTAAAGCATTTTTTTATACTACCACTTACTTACTACATATTCTTTATTGTAAGGATATACATGAACTAAAAGTCTGCTTGACATAAAACCTGTTTGTGTGGATATTATGTTCCAAACATTAAATAAAAAAACTTTTAATGAATAACCAGTGGACTGGTTACTGTTCATACAACCTGCAATATTTTTTCTGATTTTAATTTTTATAATTTTTATATTGACAAACCTCCTAATATTATATTATGTGAGAGAAGGACCAATAAAAGAAACGACAGAATCTCTCAAATTGGTAAGGTGGGCAAGACAGGAATTTTGGAGAATATCACAGTTATATACAACAGGATTGGAGGATAATGGATTTGATAAGTTGGCAGAGAGAAAGGTGGAAAGATTTGGAGATTGGGTGGAGTAGACCCTTGAAGTTCTGCATTGTCCTTTTTATGTTTGTTTTATTCATTTCTTCAGTGTATCTTTTTCGTTCTTCTAATGATTTTCTTCCATATTGGTATCACAAGAAGAGATAATTATAAATAACTGTTTTTCCATCCAGTACCATATCAGTTATCTTTATCACTCATCAAATTAATGAGTTTGGTATGTCTTAGGACATAGCGGAAACAAAGACAACCATTGGATTTATAAAGGAGGCTCCTTCTATTAAGGTTACTGGATTCAATGTGTACCATAAAAATCGACTAATCAAGGTATGTAATGAATGATTGAAATGCCTTATTTCACTTAATATTTATTTCAGCTGGCTTTTCAAGTATCTTCGTTTTCTTTATATTCATTCAATATTGAATTTCCATGTGTAATTGAATCTAATTTTCTATTTTAGCTTCTTTTTTTCTGAATAAACTTTCATTATTTAGTGGTAGAATAATATATGAAAAGTTTTGCATGTTAGACAAATGACATCTAGAGGGGGGGGGGGGTGAATAGATGCACAAATTAAAATAGATGTCAAATTAAAAATTTATTTGTGAGTCAATAATTTGTTTGAACACAGATAAAGCGGAAGCAATAATATAATCAGGAAAAGAGAAATATATAAGGGAAAGAGAACAACACACACAGATTTATACTGGTTCGGGTATAGCCAACCCTACATCCAGTTCCCAGTCAACTCTTAACACAAGAGTGACTCCCAATTCACTATCTTTCAAATTCAGTTTACAAATTACAATCAACTCAGCAGAAGAACCAGTAAAAAGTAAACTAGTTAAAAAGACAATCACCTCCTTAGAAACCCACTAAGGATGAACACCTTCCTAAAATCCCACTAGGGATGAACACCTCCTCTGAACAAATCAAAGGATGAAAAATACCTCCTTAGAATCCCACTAAGGATGAACACCTCCCTAGAATCACACTAGGAATGAAAACCTCCTTTGAACAAATCAAAGGATGAAAACACCTCCTTAGAATCTCACTAAGGATGAAAACCTCCCTAGAATCACACTAGGGATGAAAAGTACCTCCTTTGCCACCAATACGCAAAGGATGAAGGTAATAAAAATAAGAACAGTCACACCTGGGTAATGGAGACAGCAAATTGTAGAAGCCTGTAGAATGCCAATCTTCAAGAACAAGTGTGATTAACAATGAAAGCACAGAAGACACTAGAGAAGAGAGTTTTCTCAGAAGGTGTAAAATATCTCTATTGCCTTGCTCAGAATTCTTTTCTCAAAAGTGATTGAATGTAAATTGTATTTTCGAATTCTGTAATTGTGTCTTTTTTATTTTTCATCAAAACTTAATTAAATAGAAAAATAGCATCAGAAAATGGCCGTTGGACATTAATATTTTCGTCAATAAAAATCAGGATATATTTAAAAACATTTATTCTTCAAAATAGATATATTTTTCAAATTTGAATTGCCATTGTTAGATATGATTAGATATTAGTTGATATTGTTTGATATTGTTGAGATATTGTTAGATATTGTTAATCACAATATCAAATAATATCTTTTATTTACCCTATTTGTATTCTGTTACTCTTTTGAGGAGTACCTTTCTTTATTATAAATACACTGCCCTATGTGTGGTAAACACATAAGGGAAATTAACCCTATACAGTTTTTTCCCTATATTCAACATGGTATCAAGAGCTTAAGGTCTCTTGGGATTATTTTCGGCTCTGCCACTGAACTTGCAGCTGTCACCGCCTCCGCCGCCGCCGCCGCCGTCGCCGGAGTAGCAGTTCGGACCGCCGAGCACAGGGTTTTGCTCGCCTCCTCCGTGCGACCTCCACCGTGGAAGTTTTGCGGTCATCGGAGCAGACACGCTCCCTCACGCGCCTCCCGAAGCCGCGCCTCCTTCTCCCGTTCCGCCGCGCGTGGCGGCGCGTCTCGCCGCCGTTCAGGCCGCCGCTCTTTGCGCCGGCGTCGCCTCCTTCTCCTCTCTCTGGATCTGTCCTCGCTGCTCCAATCAGACCTCTTTGGTGTTTTAGGGTTTTTCTCTCTCTTTCTCCATGGCATCTTCCGCTGCCACTTCCAATTCTGAAGTTACCTCTCACAAGCCAGGCAAAGGGCGTGTCAAGTGTGACCATTGTGGCAAACTAGGCCACAAAATTGACAAATGTTATGCTTTACATGGTTATCCTCGCCGATCTGCTGCAGTTGCTTAGACTGATTCTTCCACACAATCCTCTGCTGTGGATCCTCCTTCATCTGTACCTTCAGACAAATCTGCTATCTTCAATGATTTTCTTCAATGGTATGAGGATCGAAAGCCCTCCAGTTTCACTACTTCTGTTGCCCACACAGGTACATCTTTTGCTGGTCTGACTCACTCTTCTTCTATTGGCTCTTGGGTTCTTGACTTAGGCGCCACCGATCACATCACTGGTAACAAATCCTTATTTTCCTCTTTCACTTCTTCTCATAATTTACCCTATGGTACAATGGCTAATGGGTCTACAACTTTAGCTCATGGTGTTAGAACGGTTACTCTTTTTCCCTCGTTGTCCATTGATAATGTTTTGTATGTACCCGGTCCCCCTTTAACTTATTATCCATTAGCCGTCTAACTCGATCTCTTGATTGTGTTATCTCTTTTACCAAAACTTCTGTTTCCTTACAGGACCGGAGCTCGCAAAGAGTGATTGGCACCGGATGTGAGTCACATGGACTTTATTATCTTCAACCTTCTCCACATGTTGGCACAATTATGGAGTCTCCTTCTCTCCTTCATGCTCAGCTTGGTCACCCCAGTCTGCGCAAATTACAGCAACTTGTTCCCAGCTTATCCCAGTTGTCCAGTTTGGTATGTGAGTCCTGTCAGTTAGGCAAACATAGTCGTACTTCCTTTTCTCGTAGTGTTTCCCAGCGTGCTTCATCCCCCTTTGCCTTAGTTCACTCTGACATTTGGGGACCCAGTCGTGTTAAGTCTAATTTAGGTTTTCAATATTTTGTTACTTTTATTGATGATTTCTCTCGTTGTACTTGGTTATTTTTAATGAAAAATCGTTCTGAGTTGTTTTCTATATTCCAAAACTTTTATCATGAAATTAAAAATCAATTTGGTGTCTCTATTCAAACTTTTCGAAGTGATAATGGCCGTGAATATCTTTCAAACTCGTTTAAACAATTTATGGCTTCTCATGGCATTCTTCATCAAACTTCCTGTGCTTATACCCCTCAACAAAATGGGGTGGCTGAGCGCAAGAATAGACACCTTATTGAAACAACCCGTACTCTTTTAATTCATGGTGCGGTTCCTCAACATTTTTGGGGTGATGCTGTTCTTACTGCCTGTTATCTTATTAATCGTATGCCCTCTTCGGTTTTAGATAACAAAATTCCCCATTCTATTTTATTTCCTCATGACAATCTCCATCCTTTACCTCTGAAGGTTTTTGGGACTACCTGTTTTGTCCACAATTTTGATCCTGGTCATGATAAGTTATCTCCTCGATCACACAAATGTGTTTTCTTAGGATTTACTCGATCCCAAAAAGGATACAAGTGTTTTTCTCCTTCTCTTAATCGCTATTTTGTGTCTGCCGATGTCACCTTCAATGAGTTTTCCTTTTACTTTAAGGACCCTTCCCTACTTGCTGAGTCTCCATCTGCTACAGTTCCCATTCCTGTTCTCATTGATCCTTATGTTGAGGACCATCCACCATTAGCCCCTCCTCCTCCACCACCCCTTCAGGTTTATAGTCGCAGACCTCGCCCACAACAGACGCCACATGACTCACTCCCGGTGCCAAATACTCGCCTCCTTCGGTTCAGTCCACGAGTCCGACCTTCCTATTGCCCTTCGTAAAGGTACGCGTTCTACTCGTAATCCTTCTCCACATTATACCTGCTTTAAGTTATCATCGAATTTCTTCACCATTTTATACCTGTCTCTCGTCTATTTCTTCTGTGTCTATTCCTAAATCTGTCTCTGAAGCCTTAGCCCACCCTGGTTGGCGTCGAGGCCATGCTAGATGAACTCGGTGCTCTTCAGACTAGTGGAACCTGGACGCTTGTCCCATTACCATCTGAAAAATCTGTTGTTGGTTGCAGGTGGGTCTTCGCTATCAAGGTTGGTCCTGATGGTACTATTGATCGCCTCAAAGCTCGCCTTGTAGCCAAAGGCTATACCCAAATTTTTGGGTTGGATTATGGTGATACTTTCTCTCCAGTGGCAAAGATGGCTTCTGTTCGTTTATTCATTGTCATGGCTGCTACTCAACAATGGCCTCTTTATCAACTGGATGTCAAAAATGCTTTCTTGAATGACGATTTGCAAGAAGAGATTTATATGGAGCAACCTCCCGGATTTGTTGCTCAGGGGGAGTCTTCTGGATTGGTATGTCGTCTTTGCAAATCTTTATATGGCCTAAAACAGTCTCCTAGGGCCTGGTTTGGCAAATTTAGCAGCGTTGTTCAACAATTTGGCATGACTAGAAGTGAGGCAGACCACTCAGTCTTTTACCGTCACTCAAATGCTGGATGTATCTATTTGATAGTGTATGTCGATGACATTGTTCTTACAGGTAGTGACCATCATGGCATATCTTAGATGAAACAACACCTTTGCCACCATTTTCAAACCAAAGATCTTGGCAAACTCAGATATTTCTTGGGTATTGAGGTAGCACAATCTACCGATGGCATTGTTATATCTCAAAGAAAGTATGCATTGGATATTTTGGAGGAAACTGGGTTGATGAATTTAAAGCCTGTTGACACACCAATGGATCCTAATACCAAACTCTTGCCAAATCAGGGGGAGCCAATGTCAGATCCTGAACAGTATAGAAGATTAGTTGGAAAATTAAATTATCTTACAGTTACTCGCCCTGACATTTCCTTTGCGATCGGTGTGGTGAGTCAATTCCTCAATTCTCCTTGTCAAGATCATTGGAATGCGAGTCATCCGTATATTGAAGTACATCAAAAAGTCTCCTGGAAAAGGTTTGGTGTATGACTCCCATAATCATACAAGAGTTGTCTGCTATTCGGATGCTTGATTGGGTAGGATCTCCCTCTAATAGAAGATCTACATCTGGGTATTGTGTTTCCATTGGTGGTAACTTGATCTCATGGAAAAGTAAGAAACAAAGTGTTGTGGCAAGATCCAGGTGCAGAAGCGAGTATAGAGCTATGGCCTCAGCTACCTGTGAACTTATTTGGCTCAAGCAATTGCTTAAAGAGCTACAATTTGGAGATGTCACTCAAATGACACTAGTGTGTGACAATCGAGCTGCTCTCCATATAAGCTCTAATCCTGTCTTTCATGAGAGGACTAAACACATTGAGATTGACTTGCCATTTTATTCGGAAAAGATTATGTCCGGAGACATCAAGGCTGAGTTCGTTAACTCATGTGATCAATTAGCGAGATATTTTCACTAAGTCTTTACGGGGACCTAGGATGGATTATCTTTGTACCAAGCTAGGCACATACGATTTGTATGCTCCGAGCTTGAGGGGGAGTGTTAGATATGATTAGATATTAGTTGATATTGTTTGATATTGTTGAGATATTGTTAGATATTGTTAATCACAATATCAAATAATATCTTTTATTTACCCTATTTGTATTCTGTTACTCTTTTGAGGAGTACCTTTCTTTATTATAAATACACTGCCCTATGTGTGGTAAACACATAAGGAAAATTAACCCTATACAGTTTTTTCCCTATATTCAACAGCCATAATTGATTATGTTACCAATATAATCAATTATGACAGAAAAAATCATTTTTCCTTTTCTGATGCATCATAATTGATTATGACAGTGAAAAATATCATGTTATGAACTTTATCACACTTGTGCTTTGGATGCTTATGCATAATATTACTTCATCAACTTGTACCTTCATATCAAATATTCTAAGACTCTATCTAGTATTCAAGAATCATCTTGGGTTTGCTTGAATCATCATCTTTATCAAAAACATATCTTTGGCATGTAGAGAAATGTTTCACATTTTCACCAACGTCTTAAATTCAGCTTGTCCTTAATTCATCTTGAATGGTGTTGACTTGAATGTAGTTGACTTGAATCATCATCAAAATCATCTCTTGAGAATGTAGGGACATTTCCATCAATCTCTCCCTCATTGCTTTCATTGAATAGGATTCAAATTGTTACCCTCAATTTTTTTTCTGGACATTTATGAGTAGGGCTAAATGGTAACCCACACTGAAAACATCAACCTTACTCTCTTCTTTTGCACTCTCCTTGCTTACTTATTGCCCCGAGTTACATTTCCAGGATCATGTGTTTCGACGTTTGTTTAAATATTTGATTTCAAGCCCCATGGACAGAAACCCAACTATTGCTCTTCAATGACATTGGCTACCCTAGCAATTAATGCTTCAAACTCCTGAACTAACCCCTCTACTGTGCCCCTATTCGTAGCGAATAAAGCCCTTCATGCACAGTCTGTATTCTTTTTTTGTCATATGTTGCAACAGAGCCCTAGTGAAATATGATTGAATATTAATAAAAGAGATAAGGTTAGTGTTTTGCATTTGGTATCATTATGTAACAAATGAAGTCATGTGTACAAACTAAGTGTGTTTATCCACTCCCCCCCTCTCTAAAATTTAATTTGATCATTTAAAATGTCAATTGAAACATGGATCTTTAGGGAACTTTGCATTGCTTTATTAGTAGCTGTACAACTACAATACAAGTTTCTTTGTGAATATATTATTTGCTCTCAATTCTTATTCTGAAATGGTTAACCTTTTTGAGAGGATGCAGCCCTTTTGGAAAGTAGTTTCAGATGGTTCATCAAAAGGGAGTTGTGTTGTTGGTATGTTTTCAATCTGCTCCACTGTTGAGTTCTCTCTGCATGTGCTTACCCCAAAATTCCCAGGTTTTTTAATTTACTGGTGCATATTTAGGAGTTCTTGAAGCCAATTTTATAGAACCAGCGCATGACAAGCAGGATTTTGAGAGATCAGTGCTATTCATTCGGTTGGAAAACAAGCTGAAACAAATGACAATGGATTACTGGTTTGTCTCTGTATTACATTGTTTATCTTGAACAGTTTTCTTGTATCTTGTTCCAGTATTATATTGTTTGGTTTCTGCAAAGGTTGTAGGTACTTTACTGATTGAATTTCTTTATATGGATAATTGGCATTTTTCATATTTGCTTCCTTAATTTTTATATTTCTTAATTCACTTCTTAATTTTCATATAAGCTAGCACGTATTTGCTCTGGGTTTATCTGAAAAAAATTATTGCAGTTGACGTTTAAGTTGTTGTTTTCTGTTAATGTTCCTTGGAGTTTTACTAGTTGTTCAAGTTGTAATTTCTTTGGAAGCAAATAACAGCAGATAGAAGCTGTACGCATTCTAATTGTGGTTAGCTACTTTTGCTTCACAACAGGCCCCATACATTAAAATGTGATGGTTTAAGTTGGCCATGAAAGTATATTACATTTGCGGTTGTAGATCCTTATTTATACTTATAGGCCACAAGTTTCAAGCACAAACGCTCACAAAATATTACTAGAATGAGAATCATGGTAACTACAGATAGCTGAAGCATTATCCTCTGCTATGTTATTTTTGGGCAATTACCAGTAATTAATTTTGTTGAAGTATTTATTAGATTAAGTGTATCTTGTTGGACATTTATGAGATTAGTTGTAGACCTAGTTCCTAGAATGCATCTGTTTATCTTCTCTAGGATTAATCATGTCTCTCTATTAATTGTATCTCTGAATCTGTATTTTTATCTCCTATAAATAAGAAAACACAAGAAGATGATTGCAGACTCTCAAAATCAGTTCTTTATTTTATTTTTTCTATTTCAAGTTGGTATCAGAGCAGGTTCATCCCGCTCTGCCTGTCTCTATTTTTTTTCTGGCATTAATCGCCGTTCACCGCCGTCCGCCGCCGTTCGCCGCTGGTGCTGTCTTCTCCGGCGCCTTTTTCCTCTCTGACATTTGGGCTGGCTCGCCTCGAGGAGCGCGACCCAACCCCAGTGTTCGCTTCCTCTATCTCTGCCTCACGCGCCGCCACGCGCCACCCTTGTCCGTGGCTTCCTCCGCACGTGGGCCTCACGCGCCACCCTCTCGGTGGCTATTTTGCTCCAGGCCACCTTTATTCGGCTCGCCTTGTCGCCCTGGTGCCAGATCTGCACTTTGTTTTGTGTTCTCGGTCACAAAACGTGGTGGATCTGCGTTTTTCTCTCTGCCTCTCTCGGTCCTCTCTCTGACAGCATGCTGGTCTTTTCGTGTTTCCTGTAAAATGTCAGGACCTGTGTCTGTATCTTTTTCTGGGACTCCGACTATAACCACATAAAAATTAAATGGAAAAAATTATTTGTCTTGGGCTTCCTCTGTTGAGCTCTGGTTTCTAGGTCAAGGAGTTCATGATCATCTAGAAGAAGATGGAAGTACTATACCGGCAGATCAGGCTCCTCAATGGAAGAAACTGGATTATCAACTTTGTGCACTATTATGGCAATCTGTTGAACCACATATTTTGAGCACTCTTCGAGCCTTCAAGACATGTAATTCTTTTTGGAAAAAGGCTCAAAATATCTTTGCTAACGATATTCAACTACTTTATGATTATGCTAATAGACTAGCCTCCCTTAAGCAAGAGGATAATTCCATGATGTCCTTTGTTGCTGAAGCTCAGTCAGCTGTTGAAGAATTAAAAATGTTCCTGGAGGCAGAATCATTAGAAGAAAGGAAGACGAAGTTGGATAAATTCGATATGGTAATGATTCTTAGGGCTATGAATCTAGAGTTTAATCATGTTAGAGACCAGATTCTAACTGGAGAATAAGTTCCTCCTACGGAGAGTTTAATCACAAGGCTACTTCGTGTTCCTTCTATCAAAAGCAAAAACAGTCAGGAACTTGCTGATTCTTCCGCCATGATTTCTGCTCGTGGAAGAGGTAATCACAGCTCTAGAGGACGTGGTGGGAAAAGATGTCCTCAGTGCTCTCATTGCAAAAGAATGGGACATACTAAGGAAAATTGTTTTGCTCTGCACGGCTTTCCTGATAAGGCAGCTAATACCTCAAAATCTGAAGTTGATGAGCCCAAGTTCTCTCATGAAGAGTATCAAGAATATTTAAGGATGAAATCAACCAATTTGGCTCAAGCATCTACAACACCAAATTCGTCAACCGCTTGCATTTCGCAATCTGTGGAAAGTCAAAATCCATGGATTATTGACTCAGGTGCTTCTGACCACATGTCTGGTAATACCTCTTTATTTTCCTCTCTTTCATTTCCTAAAACATCCCATCTCATATCTTTAGCTAATGGATCTAAAGTAGCCTCTAAAGGAATTGGTCAAGTATCCATCTCTTCTTCTTTAAACCTTCAAAATGTTCTTTGTGTTCCTTCTTTTCCATTCAGTCTTGTTTCTGTAAGCCAATTAACCAAATAATTGAATTGCTAAGTAACCTTTAATGCCAATTGTTTTGTTATCAGGAACGTGGTACAGGTCGACTGATTGGAGAAGGACGTGAATCTGGAGGCTTATACTACCTTAGGACTAAGTCATCTGTATCTTGTGTTGCGTCCTTATTCCCAAAACTGTTACATGAGCGATTAGGGCATCCTCATTTAGCAAAATTGAAAAAAATGGTTCCTGAACTTCAGAACCTTCAAACTCTTGAATGTGAATCCTGTCAACTAGGGAAACATACCAGGTCATCCTTTCCAAATCATTCTGAATCTAGATGTGATTCTGCTTTTAGTATTGTTCATTCAAATATATGGGGACCTAGTCGTGTTTCATCTTTTGGTTTTAGATATTTTGTTACTTTTATTGATGGGTTTTCTAGATGTACTTGGGTTTATCTTATGAAAGATCGTTCTGAACTATTGCCTATCTTTAAGTCTTTCCTTAATGAAATCAAAACTCAATTTGGAAAAGTAATCAAAGTTTTACGAAGTGATAATGCCAAAGAGTACTTTTCTAATGATTTTTCTAATGTCCTAAATTCTCAAGGCATTTTACACCAGTCCACGTGTCCTCACACACCACAGCAAAATGGTATAGCAGAACGAAAAAATAGACATTTGGTTGAAACTGCTCGTACCTTATTGCTGGGTGCCAATATGCCTATTGATCATTGGGGAGATGCTATTCTAAGTGCATGCTTTCTCATTAATAGAATGCCATCTTCTTCTCTTGATAATAAAGTTCCACACTCTATTCTATTTCCAAAGGAACCAATTTTTCATGTTTCTCCTAGGGTATTTGGATGTATATGTTTTGTTCATGACATGTCTCCTGGCTTAGATAAACTCTTACCTAGAGCTATCAAATGTGTCTTCTTGGGGTATTCTCGTCTTCAAAAAGGATATCGGTGTTATTCTCCTGAAACCAAGAAGTACTACATGTCTGCTAATGTCACCTTTTTTGAATCATCATCCTTCTTCCCTTATTCTATGCAGGATATTGATTCTGTCCAAAATGTGTTTCCTGTTCCCTTAGTTGAATCAGTTGTACCTCCTATTCCTGACACCCCAAATCCCAACCAAAATACTCTAGAATCAGCATCACAGCCTATCATCACCTATCAACGCAGGAACCAGGTGAACAATCCCATTCCCCAAGATGAGCCATCCATAACAGGTCCTTCACTATCATCCTCTAATACCACGGCTCCTGATAACGATGACTCCAGTTGGCCCATTGCCATTCGCAAAGGTACTCGTTCTACTCGTAATCCTCACCCCATTTACAATTTTCTTAGTTATCATAGATTGTCTCCTTCCTATTCTTTTATTTCCTCTGTCTCCTCTATTACAATTCCTAAAAATGTGGTCGAAGCGCTTGATCATCCTGGATAGCGACAAGCCATGATTTCTGAAATGCAGGCTCTTGATCACAGCAAAACATGGGAGCTTGTTCCTCTCCCTTCGGGAAAGAAAACAGTTGCTTGTCGTTGGATCTATGCTATTAAAGTTGGGCCCAATGGTCGGGTTGATCGTCTTAAAGCAAGGTTAGTGGCTAAAGGGTATTCTCGGATATATGGACTTGATTATTGTGATACTTTTTCTCCAGTAGCCAAAATGACCACTGTCCGCCTGTTCCTTGCCATGGCCGCCACTCGTCATTGGCCTCTTCATCAATTGGATATTAAAAATGCTTTTTTGCACGGTGACTTAGAAGAAGAAGTTTACATGGAGCAACCTCCTGGATTTGTTGCTCAGGGGGAGTCTGGTTTGGTTTGTAAATTACGTCGATCCCTCTATGGCCTAAAACAATCTCCACGTGCTTGGTTTGGAAAATTCAGCTCTATTGTTCAAGATTTTGGATTAAAACGCAGCGAAGCAGATCATTCAGTGTTTTATTGTCACACTGCCCCTGGCAAACATGTTTATTTAATTGTGTACGTTGATGATATTGTCATCACAGGGAATGATGCTGCTAAAATATCTCAGCTAAAAGAGCACTTGTGTAGTCATTTTCAGACCAAGGATCTTGGAAATCTAAAATATTTCTTGGGTATTGAAGTAGCTCAATCAAGAGAAGGTATTGTCATCTCTCAAAGGAAGTATGCTCTAGATATTCTAAAAGAGACAGGTATGATTGATTGCAAACCTGTGGACAGTCCTATGGATCCAAATTTGAAGTTAATGGCAGGACAGGGTGAAGTTTTCTCTGACCCAGAAAGATATAGAAGACTGGTTGGGAAACTTATTTATTTGACGATTACTAGACCTGATTTGTCTTTTGCAGTTGATGTTGTCAGCCAATTTATGCAAGCTCCTTGTGTGGATCATTGAAATGCTATCATTCGAATCTTAAGATACATTAAAAAAGCTCCAGGACAAGGATTATTATATGAAGATAAGGGAAATACCCAAATTTTTGGGTACTGTGATGCTGACTGGGCTGGATCTCCTATGGATAGGCGTTCCACTACAGGCTATTGTGTTTTCATTAGAGGAAATATCATTTCATGGAAAAGCAAAAAACAAAACGTTGTTGCCCGATCCTCTGCTGAAGCTGAATATAGGGCAATGGCGTCTCTTACTTGTGAACTTGTTTGGGTAAAACAATTCTTGCAAGAATTGAACTTCTGTGAGATTCAATCTATGAAGATGTATTGCGATAATCAAGCTGCTCTTCACATTGCTTCCAACCCAGTATTCATGAGAGGACTAAGCATATTGAGATTGACTGTCATTTTATTCGGGAGAAGTTGTTGACTAAAGAAATTTGTACTGAGTTTGTTGGTTCCAATGAGCAACTTGCAGATGCATTAACGAAATCTTTGAGAGGACCTCGAATGGAATTCATTTGTTCCAAGCTTGGTACATTCAATTTGTATGCTCCAGCTTGAGGGGGAGTGTTGAAGTATTTATTAGATTAAGTGTATCTTGTTGGACATTTATGAGATTAGTTGTAGACCTAGTTCCTAGAATGCATCTGTTTACCTTCTCTAGGATTAATCATGTCTCTCTATTAATTGTATCTCTGAATCTATATTTTTATCTCCTATAAATAAGAGAACACAAGAAGATGATTGCATGCTCTCAAAATCAAAATCAGTTCTTTATTTTCTTTTTTCTATTTCAAGTAATTTCAAATGAAAAGCTGATTAGAGCTTTGTGATACATCATTTCAAATATATCAACATTATGGGGTTGACAATATTTGATTTATTATAATTTGTTCTGGACTAAACAGGAAAGGCCACTGTCACTTGATTGGATATCAGCCGTCAAATTTCAGATCAGAAAATGGGATAAAAGAAGCTCACAATCAAAAGTCAGCTGAACATTCAACTAATCCACAGAATGAGTTGTTTGTTAATCAACAGGTTACTGGCAGGGTAGCTGAGCATCGAAACACCCTGAATCAGCCGGTTGTTGGTCTTGATGTGACTGGCATGCAAGATTTAAGTCATGAGAAGCGGGTAAGTTGTTGACATTATCTGCAGAAGGATTGTATTATTCTGATGTGGACAGCCTGAAATCATACTTGCTACTGTATTTGGGTTGACATATACTTGTCGTTTGTTTTTGTTAGAACATACACATAGAATGTGAGATTACTCACATGAACAGAGAAGAAAGGAGAGAGAGAACAGAATAAGAGATATGCTACTGAATGGAATATTTTATTTTGCACTTCTGTTTGTGACATATATAGAGCATCACTATTTATAGTGCACATTGAGAAGTATTTTGTCAACAACTCAGTAACTAACAAACATTAAACCACTAACTAATGAAATATCTACTGCACTTCACCTCAATCCAGATTAGCAATAGAAATCACCCCTATGAGGCTTTATTAAAATATCAGCAACTTGCACATTAGTATTGCAAATTTCAACTCAAGCTTCCCTTTACACTGACTTGATCTCTGAGAAAGTGAAATCTTGTCAAAATATGCTCCTTTCATGTGAAAAAGGGTGTTTAACCAAGTTTATTGTTGGAGATCCCACATTGACTAGAGATATGACCAATTTATGATATATAATTCATGTGCAAACCTTACCTTATAAACTGATTTTGTAGGGTTGAGTTAGACACTTTTTCATTTCTAATACTTATTATAGATGAGGTATTGTCTATTAGCATTTTCACAAGCTCTTCTCTTTAATATTCATTTCAGACAGTTTTTAAGCCACAAGACCTGACAAGCTCCCATTGAGGCTGCAATATATTCAACCCATAAGGAAAGTGGCACCACTGACTTCTTTTAAAACACCTTAAATTGGTGCTCCACACATTTAATCACATACCTTGTTGTGTGCTTTCTATTACTTTTATCACCACAATAATCTGAGTTAGCCAAATATTCCAATATTTCATCAGAAACACTTCTCCCATTGTTTGAGAGCACCAATCCATAGTTAGTTGTAAGCATGTGACAAAGCCTTGATCGATAAACATTCTAATCAACTGTACTAATGATCTAACAATCTGCTTGTACAAGGTTGCATCTACTGACTTGACACTTCCTTCTCCAACTTTGGGCAGAGTTACAATCCAACATGTGAAATTTTTACATTACTTGTAGTGTCAAATTCCATGTTAAAAAAAATAGGATAAGAATGCATTTGTCACTTTCTATTTTGATCAAGATTGGTAATTAAAGGCATTAGGACACTAATAATGTTGAGCTTTGCTATAGAGGAAAACATATTTGACTAATCGATGCCATAAGATTGGGTATTACTTTTGACAACCAACTGAATTTTCCTTCTGACTGTACTTGATTGTGAACACCGATTTGCACCCGACTATCTTTTTTCCTTTGACAATTCTACAACTTCGAATCCCAAATTTGATTTTTGTCAAGCGTTTTTATTTCTTTTAAGATAGTCTTTTTCCAATTGGGAACTCTCAAAGCATATTGAATGTTATTGGGAAATTTCTACATGACAATTATAAAGTAAAAGCAAGAAAAGGTGAAAGTTTCTTATACAATACAAATTTAGACAAAGGATGTTTGGGACATGACCATACATCTTTTTTAATAATAATGAGAAGGGTGTAATCATCATCTTTATTGTTTTAGAAATTATAACCTTTTGAATCCTCGAACTCTCTGTGATGCAAATGCTGATCGTTGGATTCTTTTTTTATTTTTATTTTTTTATGCTTGAGTTAATGATATCAAAATGTTGTATATGACTCTGGAATTTGTACCTTTTCTTTTTCATTATTTCATCGACTTCACGAACTTCAGCATTAGGTACTACTGTGTCTTCACAGCGTGGACTTGGATAACACTTGTTTTCCCTTTCATTTGCATTAGTTAAAATAAAATTTATTTCCGATTTGAAAGTGATCTGTAGGTTCAAGAAGTTGTGGAGATCATGTAGAATCCATCTATGTCCGCCACTTTAGATCAGAAGTCGGTTTTGAAATAAAAAGGGTGGCATCCATCTTTAAATCAGATCATAGCACCTCTATCCCTATTGCATGGGAGTATAACAAATAAGCACGCCCCTTAGTTTGAGGATTGGATATATTTTGTAGCTTGGTTCATGCTTAACAAATATAGTGCCCAAATACTCTAGGGGTTGAATTGATGAAAACCTATTTTGGGGAAAATAATTTAGAAACACCTTCGAAAGAGTTTTGGATTCTATGTTTTACTGATCATTCTATCATTTAAGTAGGTTATTGCCAATATGCCTTCCCCCAAATGTATTTAGAAACCATATTTGACTTAGGAAAGCTCTAGCCACTTCCAAAAAGTGTTCATTTTTCTTTCAGCCACTTCATTTTGGGGTGTATGAACACAATTGCTTTGATGTACAATTACATTTTCTATGAAAAAATTGATGAAGTTTTTGTTGAATAGTAAAATTGAGTGTTTATCATTCTTAACTGTTTTAAAACTTTATTCCATTTCAAATTTGTCCCATATTAAGTACACTTGTGTCAACCTAGTATGGTCATCGATAAAGGTGATGAACTATTGTTTACCCAAAGAGGGTGAAATTAGAATATCTACTAGGGTCCTAAACATCACTATGGTTGATGGTGAAGGGGTTGTGTTCTTCGATTATTTGCACCAAAATGACCAAAATCAGAAGTTTCTCTCGAGAATAATCAATTATTTGAAGCAATAATCGATTATCTGCCAATTTAATCGATTAACAGCATCAGTTAATCGATTATTCTGTTCAATTGAAGGTTTAATCGATTAACAAAAGTATTAATCGATTATCCTGGATCGTTTTTGATAAACTAGCCGTTTGTAACGGATATTTTGGCACCCATTCTCCCAAATCTAGCCGTTTATGACCGTTATGCTTGTTCTCTACATATAGGAAGACTTCATTTCACATCTACACACCTCCAAACCTTAAATCAAAGCATTCTTGAATCATTCAAGCTCTCTTGTTTCCTTAAAGCCTCACTTGCTTTCAAAATTCCTTATATTCCTTTCCTCCTAATCTTAATGGTTTCATCATCTCGTGCTAAGATCCCCACAAGGAGAAGATCCGCTCCTGCTTTTCATCCTCGTCCAAATTCAGTTGAAGGATGGATCTCCGGCGATGAAGGAAGACAGGAATTTCTGACCTTCTGGAAAGAAAGGGGTATTGTATTATCACTCCAAAGTATATTATTGGTGATCAATTCATCAATAAAGGTTTCAACTTTCCAAATCTTCTTGAGCTGCAAGGTGTCCTTCCATTTATTCAAATGCAAGATACTTACTACCCTGATTTAGTTAGGGTATTCTATTCACGTTTTAAATATAGAGATCATGTAGCCACTTCTAGAGTCAAGGGTGTGACTATCATCCTTGATGATGATATTTGGGAAAATGTTGCCCACTTTTCTGTAAGGGAGGATGCTATCAATGTTCTTACGGAGTTAGAAGATTTTGATAGAATTATGGCTTACCGCTCATTTCTCCGCAACCCCTCCATGGAAATTGGCCGACTTCTATTGGCCGGACCATTAAAGAAGGAAGAACGCATGCTGCTGCATTTCATTGTATGGATTCTGTGTCCTCGAGCAACAAATCATGCACAATGTTCATCTATTGATCTTCGCATTATTCATGCCATCATGAATAATGAGCCAATTGATTGGGGTAGTCTTGTCACTATGACCATGCTTAAAGCTAAGCGTCATCCAACCTTTAAAATCCCATATGCTCTTCTTATTTCTCGTATCTTAGAATACAAGGGAGTGAATGTTGAAGGAGAGCAAAGGGTCAGGACGATAAATTCAAATCAAATGCTTGACAGCACGCTCACTCAGTTACAAATGGTGCGTGTAAATGAAATTTACGTTCACAAAGATGACGCTCCCAACATGGCCGAAGATGCTCAAGATTCTGATGAAGAGATGCCTGATGCTGAGATTCCTGCAAAAAACATTCATACTGCTGAGACATCATCTGCTCATCCTACATCCCGTCCGTCTATGGAAGATATGCTATTTGATATGAATCAAAGAATGCAAGAATTCTACACTATTTCTCAAGAACGGCATCAGGACATCATTCGCCGTATTTCGGATGTAGATGATAGGGTTTGTAACTTAGAAGATAGATTTGATGCCCAATTTAACAGTGATGAAAGTGAAGAGTTTTAATCTCTTCAATATATCTTTTTGCTTGTAATTAATTTGATTTATGGAATAAAAATGGTATTTTTGCTTTATTTGAGGGGGAGCTTTTTCTATATTATGCACTTATTGAGGGGGAACTTTCATTTTTTTGATCATAATCAAAATAGGGGGAGAAATTATTTAAAGCCTCTTATGTTTATTAAATTTAAATGTTGTCTGGTATGTTTAATGTTTTTGTTAGCTGTGACAGACAAAACAGGTTATTACAAAGGGCATTAAAGGAAATTTTGATCATCATCAAAAAGGGGGAGATTGTTGAATATACAATGATATGAATGTTGAACATATAAGAATATGAAGCTTGTAGATTTTGATGATGATTCAAGAATAAATGATTTAAAAATTTGAAGAATTGGGAATAGGATTTTCGAAACTTAGTCCAATTTTGAATTTCAAAACACATAACAGACCAAAATAATCGATTATCTTAACTGTTAATCGATTATTCCAGAGTCATTTTTGCAGAGGAGCAAAAACAGGGCCAGATAGTCGATTAACAGGCCATTTAATCGATTAACAGTCCAGTTAATCGATTAACAGGCCATTTAATCGATTATTCTAGTGAGCAAATACTGAAAATGATTTTCTTTCTGTAATAAATTACCATAGTGGAATGTTTGCGTTTACGGACAAAAACTAAGAGGGGGGTGAATTGGTTTTTTAAACAAAAATTAGGGTTTTAAATTTTTTTTCCAAATTTTATCGATTAAAATGCTGTGTAAAGTAAATAGAGAAGGGATAGAAGATTACACAGTCGATTTATACTGGTTCGGATCAAAAGACCTTTGATATTAGTTTGTTTAATTGATGCATGTTTATATGAGTCGCTCTCTTATGCCATAACCATGGGTTTTCTTCTTTAGCAACTAAGCATGTTATACTAGTATTAGGTACACAATCCAAATCAATCAAATAGATATTATTATGCCTAATGCTTTTCAATGCTATATTTTCGGAATCCTTTAAATGTATGGTACAAAATTTACTTTCAAAGATTACCTTGAATCCTTTGTCACAAAGTTGACTTATACTTAGGAGATTATGTTTTAGCCCATCAACAAGAAGCACATCCTTTATCTCCAAAGTATTTGCACCACCAATGTTTCCGATTCCAAGAATCTTTCCTTTGTTGTTGTCCCCATAGGTTACATATCCTTGTTCTTCAGCTTTGAAACTCACAAATTTCGTTTTGTCTCCGATCATATGTTTTGAACATCCACTGTTGTGAGAAATCAAATAGTATTTTAGGAAAGAATAAATGGAAATTTGTATATTTCCTTGTATGTTGGAAACTTAACATGGTATCAGAGCCAAAGCCTAACATCTTTCCGGTTATTGTCATGGGCTAAAAGTTGCCCTTTAGTTGGGTCAAAAGTACCCTTTGCCTGGTCCGGCGGGCTTCGTTGGAGGGGGTGTGTTGAAAGTCCCACATCGCCTACCTCATATCATTTGGTATGATTTAAATACATGTTAGGCTACTCCACATATTGCCAATTGGTTTTATGTTGGAACCTTAACAACTTTCAAGATACCACATAGTAGACTTTTTGGATTTTGAAGTTTCCTACAAAACAAGAACATGATAATCTTAGGTCCCCATAACTTTTGGGTCCTTGGGGTTAGAGACAATCAAATCATTTAACTATAGGAACCCAAACATATTTTCCTTTAGGAACACCAAAATGCTTAATTCTACATCTATTTGAAGTATGACCATGTTTCATACAATAAAAGCATGCATTAGATGTAATCTTTGAATATGATACATTTATAACTTTTGAAGTTTTAGTTCCTTTTTCAACCCATACTCTTCTATTTTTAGTTTTAGGCTTTTTCAATGGAACATAATAATTTTCTCTATTTTGAATAGCCTTATCCTTATAACTATCACTTATTTCTTTCTTAGCTTTATCAAGCAAATGGCTAAGTATATCAATATTATATTCATACTCTTTACATGATGCACATTCTATATTTTTATTATCTTTTTCTTCTAAACATACAATTTTCGTTTTTAAGAACTCCACCTCTTTTTTGGATTTATTCAAACACTTTTTCACAGATTTATATTCATTTTTCAAGTCCTTAAAAACAGTAAACAATTCTTCATATGCATTTTGTAAAGCATCATAATCATTTTCATCATCACTTGAGGAAGAGTCGGAATCACTAACCTCAAAGTCGGAAGAGATGTTGTCTTTTGCCATCAAGCAAATGTTTGCTTCAATTTCCGAATCACTTGACTCTGAACTTGAATCACTATCATCCCAAGCAATGTTGGCTTTCTTCTTGAAGAATTTCTTGCCTTTATGATCTTCATTTTTCTTATTTGGACATTCGGTTTTTACATGTCCTGTTTCACCACAACCAAATATTTAATATTTAAGGAAATACTTTCCCTTACCTTTCCCTTACCTTTGAAGGGTTGCTTCCCTTTGGCTTTCATGAACTTTGTAAATTTATTTATCATGAGACTCAAATTTTCATCATCTTCATTCTCCGTGTCTTCTTCCTCCTTCTTGTTCGTACTCTTGGAAATTTCAGTTTTGAAGGCAAGGTTCCTCTTTTGGTGTTGGTCTTCTTCATCGTTTAGCCTTCCAAGTTCAAGTTCATGCTCTCTCAACTTTCCAAAGAGCGTCGTCATAGACATTGTAGCAAGATTTTGTGACTCCGTGATGGTCGTCACCTTAGGTTGTCATTTCCTATCCAAAGATTTAAGAATTTTTACATTTAATTCATCAATAAAATTTTTTTTACCTAACCCGGTGAGATAATTCACGATATTTGTGAAACGCTTTTGAACGTCAAAAATTGTTTCCCCTTGTTGCATCCGGAACATCTCATACTCTTGTATCAATGAGTTCTTTCTTGCTCTTTTAACGTCATCGGTACCTTCGTGGGTTATTCTTAGTATTTCCCACATTTCTTGAGCAATTTTACAAACCGATATCCTGTAAAACTCATCAAGGGTTAAAGCAAATGAAATTATATTTCTAGCCCTAACATCATATTGTGTTTTTCTATTTTCTTCAGCCGACTATCTAGAAAATGGTTTTGGTACCTCTTCTCCGTTTTCAGTAATTGTAGGAACAAAAGGTCCATTTAAAATTGCATCCCAAACACCTCTATCAACAGACTCCAAAAATATTTGCATTCTAACTTTCCAAAAAGGATAATTTTGCCCCGCAAAAAGTGGGGATCAATTGATAGAAGCACCCTTGGCAAACGTTTGATTTGGTCCGGCTATTTTCGAAAATTATCAAAGCAAGCTCTGATACCACTTGTTAGAATCGCGCAGCGGAATGTTTGCATTTACAGACAAAAACCAAGAGGGGGGGTGAATTGGTTTCTTAAACAAAAATTAGGGTTTTAAAATTTTTTCCCAAATTTCACCGATTAAAATGTTGTGTAAAGTAAATAGAAAAGGGATAGAAGATTACACAGTCGATTTATATTGGTTCGGATCAAAAGACCCTACGTCCAGTTGTTAATCACTCAAACAAAGGATTAACGATGTCACTATAATCACAGTTTTACAAACAGATTACAAATGAAAAGATAAGGTAAAGAAAACACCTCTCTTGAGTCACACAAGAGATAAACACCTCATTTGAATCCACAAAGGATGAAGAACAACTTTCCCTAGAGACAGCACAACACACAATCCACCAAGAAACCCACTCAGTGATTCTTATTGCTTCTAGCCCACACTAGGTTTCAAAAGCCCATTTTTCTTCCATACAAACAGTTTTCTAGCAATCATAGATCTTAACTTTTGTATGAAAAAGGTTATTCTTTTTGCAGAGAGCCTTAAAGAACCTTAAGTAGAGAGATTAGGGTTTGGGAATTGGGAATAGGATTTTCGAAACTTGGTCCAATTTTGAATTTCAAAACACATATCAAACCCAAATAATCGATTATCTTAAATGTTAATCGATTATTCCAGAGTCATTCTTGCAGAGGAGAAAAACAACACCAGTTAAATGATTAACAGGCCATTTAATCGATTATTCCAGAGAGCAAATGCTGAAAATGATTTTCTTTCTGTAATAATCGATTATCCTGCCATTTAATCGATTATTCCAGTGTATTTTTGATAAAAATGAGTTTTTAGAGCTTTTAAAGAGTGGTCTATGTGTTGGCTATCTTGGACTCTAATATTACATACTCAAAGACATAAAAACAGAGTTATTACATAACATTACAAGTCTTCAAATCTTTAAGTCCTTTATTCTTGAATCATCGTCAAAATCTACAAGCTTCATATCTTTGTATGTTCAACATTCATATTCTTGTATGTTCAACACTAAACATCACTATGGTTGATGGTGAAGGGGTTGTGTTCTTTGTAAGGTTGAGTTAAATAACAGGAAGATGTTTCACTAATTGACAAGAAACATGATTAGTGTTGAGGCTAGTACTTTGATTTAGTCCACTCGTCTCTTTCATCTGTAAATATGTGGAGTCCATTGATTTCTCTAGGATTGCCAATAGTCCACTCTTCTCTGGGAAGAATAATTTATACCATTGTTCCAATTATTCCTTTGTGAAAGGAGTTGTCTCAGTCATAGATGTTGACAATTTGGTATCTTCAGAAGTGGTTTGGAATGTATTTTTTCTCTATTCAAATTTTTTGGGTCTCGATCAGTGTGGTAGAACCTTTGATATGGGGGTCTGTGAGATCATTAAGGTTGTTGAAGAATATGAATTGATACTGGTCATTGCCATTTTTACAACTGGAGAAGGCAAGGTTTAGAGTTGAAGCTTTTATACCATATCAGAATACAGAAGGAAATCTTTTATTTCTCTAATTATATTTTAATAATACAGCCACTAACATGTGGACAGTCTTAGTCTCATAGATGGAACCATTCTACCACAATTCGGGAGAAAATCAGGAATAAATAAACATCATATTACCTATGATCTGATCATGCTTTAAATTTTATACAAGTCTTATTCTGAAAAGATTTATTGCAGTATCAAATCAAGACATAAATTATAAAATAATTACTTGAAAATTAAGGAAAGACCTCTGACAAAAGCTACCATTTGTTTATATGCACCCATTGAACAACATTTTTCTATTTTATTTTGTTCAAGTCTGCAGCATTTTGTGGTTCACGAGCATGTATTTTTTTTCTCACAGGGTACAATGGTAGGAACTCCAAAGTCTGTATCTGTTGATGAAATCTGTGCAGAAAACATAAAACTTTTCGAGAGGTAAATATTTATTTTCAAATTGGCTTCAAGAGTGAAGACAAATAAAACATTTGTCATTTTCATTCTTGGTTATACTTTCTGAATAGCTATACTTGCTCCTTCAGTATACTGCTTGATCAACCATTTTCCTTGACCCATCTGTCTGTTGTACATCGACCAAACGCTTTTTGACTTTCTGCTACTTCACCTACTGTGACAAGGATATATTTTTATTTAAATATTTTTTTAATTATTGATTTGATATATATATGTTAATATTTATTTTTTAAAAAATTTAATCAGGTCAAAATTGTCCCGTTGGCCTAACACAGGTCAAGCTAGACTAAAAGTTTTCACCCATTTTAGAATATAGTTCAAGTTGGGCCATCAATTTTTTTTTATTTAATCCATAGAACAAGATTAAACTGAGCTAAGGCGTCCGTTTTGACAGCTCTATTGATGTCGGTGTTCCAATTTTTGTCCGAGCTAGTTTTCGTCTGCAACAGTGCACAACTAGCTGGCGTGGACATGGTGGGATGTTAGAATCTAAATGAAATTATGGAATTTGAAGTTCTACATTGAAAGAATGAAATTCTAGCATTTGGTGGAGAATGCCTTGGGCTATACGGCAACAATAGTTAGCTTTTGTAGTGTGGTTCTCTCAAGGTTTTATCAGATGTTTATATCCTACGATCTTATGCCTGAAATTTCCCTCTAATTCATGATTTTCTGCTTCATTACGATATTTTAAATTTACTATACAATGTACTATCCAAATGTTAATCATTAATACCTGTTAACATGACAATCGCTTTGGCGTGTATCAGTTGATGTGCCTGGGCTTCGTGTTGACTTGTTTAAATGTTGAAATGAATCCTACTAAAACCCTTTTCTTCAGGTGTGAGGAGTACAGGCTAAAGGAGACAGAACTGAAAAAGACGGTAATGGTAGTCAAATTATAGAGCTTGATGACTATGATTAAATTAGTCGTTGTGTTTTAATTGTTAGTGATGCTGATGTAAAATAGGTTGTAATCTTGGAGGAGGAATATAAACAAATCCAGAAGAAATGCGCCGTTCTTACTTCAATCTTGGAGACCAAGAGGAAGGAGAAGTGTTAAGGGATGATAGTTACGCTATAGAAGCATTGTGTCAATGAGAGGCAAGTTGATTGCGTTTTCATTATTATCTTTCACGTAATGTCTATAAAAGTACCTGTTTTGAAATTACTATATAAAGATTTAAATTTGTTTTTGAACCTCTAATTTGTGAAGTTCTGTTTTTCGGTTATATGTTTCTACTGTTTTGTCAAGGAAATCAAATCAGATAATATTGCCCTTGTGGAAAAGAGGTTACGGAGAGCAAAGAGGACCTATTTTAACATCGAAATACTGATTATGATACAATTCATCAAATGACTAAGGTTTTTAAGCTACATTAATACCATTTTAAAAGTAAGTTAAAAATGGTATGGTTTTACTATGTCAGACTGGCATATTTTCGCCACGTAAGTTAAAAATGCAACAGGCACTTGTCCAAATATCTTTATAAAAACGATAATCTATCATTTATCTGAAATTGTTAAGGAATTAATTAGATTGTGCTGATAATATACACCTTTTTTTTTTCTTTTACTAATTGTGGAATTGCTTTGATTTTGTAATTACTTTTAAAAGTAATATAAAATGATATTTAATTATTTGATAATCTGATAAATTATCTACTGACTGTTGTTTAAGTTAATTAATCCTTCCACTTTTATTGTGATTTCTTTATTGTTATGATTTTTTGTCATTCTTTTTTTCTAGTCCAAAAATTGAAAAATGTTTGCAGAATCAGAGCGTGACTTCAATAAATAACAGGAGTCCAATAAAATAAAACGCGGTTCCAAATATGCACCTGATGCTACCAAATAATTGATGTTAGTATGAACACTCAAATGTCATCCATTGATGAATATGACGTTGAGAGCAAGTGATCGCAATTATTTGCACTTGATGGCAAGTAATACTATATTAAAATGTTAACATATTATTTATTATGATATAACTTGTACACATGGGTTCTCAATTTAATACTTTGTTTTATATGGTCCATATGTTAACTGTACAAATTTATTCAAAGTTTATCATCTCTTAATATGTTGTTAATATTTAATTTATTTTATTATTTTGGAAAGAGTCTTGTTCTATTGCTTGTTTAAATAATATATCATTTTCATTCATTTACTAGATTGTTTGATTTATTCTTTATATGTTTTAGTTGGTAATATTTACTATATTGGAAGTAACAGTATATTGGGCCTACATTAATTACCTTGTTAATATACATTAGCAATTTGCATTTCAAGTTTATTTTTGTATTCATTCCGTATGAAAGCGTCATGTCATCATACTTTGATAGTATTTAGCATGACATTTACATTGAAATGTGATGTTAAAGACATTAGATTTGACGGCCAATGTTTACCCATTTGAGTTGGTTGTCTCGGTTGTTGGTGCTTCCCCAATTATCAGACACTTACTAATGGACATATGCAGTAAAAAAGTTAGTATATACATGATTAATTTCAGAAGAGTAACACATGGTTAGCTATTATGTAAGGTCATGATTATAATGAAAAAAAAATGTAGTATTGCATTTTGACTTCATCTTTCATAGTATGTTAGTTGGATCTCCCTAATGTTGTTTTTTTAAGGTTGCTGAAATAACTTGGTTCTTATAACTAATATAGGATTATTTGTTTTTTTGGTTTTGTTTTCTTTTAATCTCCATTGCTACTGTTTGAGCACTTTGGTAAGTGTAAGCCTTTAATATAGGTCTATATTGCAAAAAAAAAAAAAATTTAGAGAAAGTGTTGAGTTTAAACCATTTGAGTTACATAATAATATAATATGGACATACCAAGATTATATATATATATATATATATATATATATATATATATATATATATATATATATATATATGAATCAAATAGGGGACAAAATTAAGATCAAAATGAAAAACCTTTTACACTTTTTTCATTGATTTACGAGGGAAAGAATTTGAAGATAATGAATTAGAAGAGGCTTAGACAATTTCATTAGTTTGTTTAAAAGGAAAAATGTAAATTTTGTGGATCTCAGTTAAATAAGATTTATCTTATTTGAGACATGATTTGAGATAAAATTAGAGTGATGCTGCAAAGCACAACCTGTCTGCTTCACTTTCACAGTTTCACTAGTCTGAGACCCAAGTCCAAATTTGAATGATTATAACATGGCAACAAGGCTCGGTGGGTTTTATCTCTCCTATCCCTGTCCTCGATTTCCGTCAAGTCTTCATTTCTATTTTTTTACTCTCGTTTTATTTTCTATCTATATTATTTAAAAAAAATAATTATATTAATAATAAATTAATTTTACTATATATTTTTATATATAAATAAAAATTTATAATTTTATAATTTGTAATTATTATTAATTAAATATATATTTTAGTTTATTATATTTATATTAAAATATATATGTAAAAGAAATATTTAATTATTTTTTATTTATATATAGAGAGAATATTTATAATAATAATAATATTATTATTATACTGTTTGAATACTTAGAATATTATATATATATATATAAGTTGAGTTAATTTATTTTTAAGTTTTCATTTAAAATATATAGTTTATAAGAAAATATTTAATAAGTTAATTTTTATTTAATTAGCTCGAAGTAATAAAAATTTAAATTATTAAATTTTTTTAATCTTTTAAAATATAATTATTTTATTAAGATAAAATTTGATATATGACAAATAAGAATAATAAGATTCAAAAAATATGACATAATAAAACCTAAAAAATATAAATTATAAATAAAATAATATTAATTATTATTAAGATTTATGTAAAATATTTAGAAAAAGATAAAAAAATTAATTTTATGTTCATCAAATTGGTTGAAAAGATTGAAAAAAAAATGATTAAAGAAATTAAAGAAATGTAAAAAATTGAAAGGTAAGAGAAAGAAAATAATGTAATAAACTAATTGATATAAAAGATTAAAAAAATTTAAAAAGTGGATAGAAAAGAAAATAAAAATGGTAAAATATAAAAAATGATCTTATATGTAATAGAAAAATAAAATGAAACATTTTTAAAATATTAATATTTTAAAATTTAAATTTAAATATAAAGTCGGGATGGGGTAAGGGTGGATTGTATTACTCACCCCTGTCTTTGATTTTTTTTAAACGGGAAAAACTCGAATCCGTCCCTAATCAACTTAGTTTTTTTCCATCAAACTTGGAACAGGGACTGATTATTCCTCACGTGTACGAATCAGTTCTCACTTGGATACGAATTTAATTATTATTCCTAATAACAATAAAGTTAAGATAATAGAGTAAATAACAAACAATTTTACTAAAATTAATCAATAAAGTTAATTTTTTAATTAATATAATTTTCATCTCAAAAGGTCCAAATATTTTGCTTTTTCTTCTTTTTATTCATTCAAGTAACACATTCTTCTTAGTTTTTTTTTTTTTTCTAATTTTGTCAAACTTATTTCTTTCCTTAATTATTTTCACTCTATTTCAAAATGAATCCAAACACATCATATTGCAGGAACTACGAAAATATTTAAATTCCGGAGGAATAGATTTGCCCAAATCATGGTAAACAATAGACGAATTATATGTTGGTTTCCAACTCGATAGTAAAAAGCAATGCCAAAATTCCAGCTTTACATAGCTAGTTCATCACACTCGTCAAATTTATATTTTTCACAAATTTTTTTTTACAATGTTATTGGTGCAAAGCATTCCAATTCATCTTCTTTAACGGGCATTTCTCTTCCATATGTTACGTTTACACATGATTTATTATTGTATAATAGGCATGGTCATTAACATTTCCTCTAAATAAAAATATGTATATTATTTAAATACTAAATAATGACTTAAAGAATAATAATTTTGATATAATTTGTCAACAACCAATTAAGATTGCATCGATGTAAGAGAATTAATAGTCAATTTAAACATAAAATTTTGTACAATAATTTTGAAGAAGAAGGCCAAAAATATATTTGTATGTTTCTTTACTATGATAAATCTTCCATGATTATGCATGAATGAGTGGGGTACATGGAACAATTTCCCCATTAAGGCGACGCAATCTTCGGTCGCATGACCGTAATTCTGATACCGGTAATGTTTGTTACAGCCGGTATTGGGCGGTGTTGGTATTTTCCTTATTGCGTGGATGAGGTCTGCGTTCATCGTCTCTTTTAGAACTTGCGTCCGATTAGTAGTTAACTGAGTATAATGCATGAAATATGGGGCTCTGGCTCTTCGGCCTATTCTGAGGGTGCATCTTCCTTCCTTGACCTTTGACGACAGGCCGGACTTCCACGGCCTGACCGGCCCTAGCTTCGTCACGAAATTTCCTCAGTTCTTTCAATTGCATGATTTCGCAGTACTTCTTATGAGTTCATCAAGGTCCCTAACCGGCTTATTGCATAAGCGGTAGGCAAAGGGGCCTCGCTCCTCGGCTGTAACCAAGTGATGCATGGTGGCAACTTCTGGACTTAGCTTTCTAATGTTGAGGATAGGGAAGGTAGAACAGGTAAGGATAACCTCATAGAATATGGTGGGATGGGTTAATGTTTTTTAATCATCCCATTTTGTCCTGTCTTGTACAAGTCTGTTAATTTGTTGGGCTAGTTTGGGAGAAAAAATAATTTTTTTCTTTTAATATAGTTAATATAAAGTTAAAAATTGAAAGAAGAGGATTAAAAAAGTCTGACTTTCATTCATTATAGAAAATATTCTCTTTACTTAAATAAAAGTTCATTTCTCCTCTTCTCCTAGTATTTCTTTATTGTTCATCCTAATAACTGATTATTCTTATCCCTATGACTTGAATTAAATGTATAAGAATTACTTAAAGCAAGAATAATGTGAAGTTTAATCAAATAAAAAAGATATAGATATTTAAATTTTTTAATATAAAAAATATAAATTTTACAAGTTTTGATGTTATTTATATATATTTGTTATTATTTATTATTATATAAATTTTATTATTGTTCTAAATTATAATTTCTTAAAAAATGTGTTGAATTATCGACAAACA